TTCATCAATTAACCAAAACCAAACTAGAGCTTTCATATGTTCGTATCCGTTTAGAGTAGTCTTCGTTAGGTGAGAGTTTGAGAGTCCATTAGAAACTCTATTTATGTAATAATGCTACTTAAGTACTTTATATATGTGTAGGATATGGACATATATTAATCTATGTTGTCGCTTATGATACAATTGTGCTAGAATGTATATCTCTACTATAATGGACCAATCAAAATTATACTAGGTCCCCCCGAAAAACGTCTCCCGCTGAGAGCTTCCAACCATTATGCACCCAGGAAAATGCACATAAGAATTCATCTCTATTAAAATCAAGGGCTAATAAAACACCTAAATCAAATCCGATGGCCACGATTCGATGTGGGATGTCAGGCTTCTCACCCTTGCGCCCTACATCCCACGCACGCCGGCTTCAAACGCGCCCCACGCGCGACTCCCCACGCTCCACACTGCCGCCGCCAATGGGCGCATGTCTGCCATAAAGGAAGGAATTGCCGCGAGAAAGGAAGGCATCGCCGCCTATCGCACTTGCGCTACACCTCGTGCTCGCTGGAGAAGGAGATTTTCCGCGCCACGGAGTTAGGCGACGATGATGCGTTCACCTCCCTCGTCCCTGCCGACCTCTCCCTGCACAACAAGGACGGCCGCTACCTCCTCGACGTCACCGCCGCTGTCGGCCATCCTCGGGCGCCCAGAGGACGCGGGGAGAGCAGAGGATGCAAGCGAGCACGAGATCCGCTCCGCCCGAGCCGGAGCCGCGGCCGCCATCTCCTGCTCAGCCTCGCCATCACCATCGCTGCCCTGCTCGCACTCGCCTCCGCCTCCGAATCCGACCACAAGGTGCGTTGCTCACGACCCTGCCACAAGGCCTCTCCGTGCCGCGGATCCATGTCTCCGCTCGCACCCATCCCGGTTAGATCGGTCGAGTCACGCTAGATCTCGGCTGCCTCGTCGGTCGGATCTCACGCAGTCACGCTACTGGGTTGATGGAACCGGCTCCTCGCCCGGGGTTGTTCTAATGTGAGGTTCGGTTGGGGCTGATACGATTAGAGAGTTCCTGGTGTTTGACAGTCGAGGATAAATGAAGAAATTGTTTTCTGTAACTTAAAAAGTCTCAATGACAGATGTTATCAGGAATAGTTACTAATAATCCAATGTCTTCTTGTGTCTAAATCTAGATAGAACCTTACAAATAAATATCGATGTCAATCCCTGAGAAATAAATCACCACAAAAATTCGAAGCAGAGATCATTGGTAGTATCTAACAGATTTTACTTATGTGGTTGCTGCTTGAATGTTGTTTTCTTTATGCTTCCTACATCAGTGCAAATATGTTCCGACTTCCGAACTCGCAAGTTCTCATCCCTTTTAATACTTCTTACACTTGAGCGAGATGCTAAGAAGGTCCAGCAGTTTGCTGATGCCATTAAAAGCTGATCGAATGATCGTCCTCTAGGCACGACCTATTATCTGAAACAATAATAGATTAAGCGTGTTTAATCCAATGTCCATCGTAGCTGACGGCTGGTGGCCAACTGTTTCTGCAGTTGACAATTGCCATCCAAGTTAAGTATTTGCCAATTTTGGTTTTGATCAAGTATGATTTAGATTTTTGTAGCAGGAGCTCATCCAAGAGTTAACACCATACAGCCACGAAGAGTTTAGATTTTGGATTTTGGAGGCTGCAAGAGTTTATCAAATAAACGTGCTACTGACAGGTCATACATCACAATTATCTTATGAGGAATGACAGCAATGATAAAAAAAATAGTTCAATTAGTTTATGAGAAATGACACCAATGATAAAAAAAAATAGTTCAATTAGTTTATGAGAAATGACAGCAATGCAACTAGATAGACCTATTGGAACGGGTAAAACATAGTGGTATAACTTAGGCTCAGATGCATACTAAATATTTTTCTGCCAGCTACTGTGCCTGCAACCAAAGATGATGCCATTCAGACCATAAAGTGTGCTTCACGATAGGGTTTATCAGGTTATAAAAATCACGAAATACATATTCAAGGTAACCCAGAAGATAAAGAAGTGATACTTCTTGGCCCAAACATTGAATTCTCCTGGTAGTTACTTAATAGCTAAGATCGACATTGAATTCTTCTTGGCCCAAACATTGAATTCCTTAAGTATTTGTAGCTGATTAGCGACCTGTTCGTCCAGGATAGGAGCAGTGGTGGTGCAGCAGCAAGAGGATTGGTACCAGAAGGTCGGAGTACGTTGTTGTGAAGGTCCTGCCGCTGGAGCAGCTGCACAGGAGGCAGTGCAAGGGTCCTAGATGTCTTGTCCTTCGATTCATGCAGGTTGATATCGCTTTCATTTTGTTCAACCAAAAAACACCATCCAGTGCCTCCTCTTAAATACTTGGTTTGCTAGATGGTAGATGCCAAGTAGTTATTCTGAGCACTCTTGTTTATACATTGAATGCTTGCATGCTGTGATGTTTGACAACTATGAAAACTATGAAACGATTTCAGTAGATAAGGTTTTGGCTATGCATCGTTTCTCTACATAGGTTTTATAGACTAATTCAACGGTACCAGTCACATATCTCTAACTACAACTAAAACATTCGTATTGTCAACATCTACCCGGCAGGACCAAAACACTCATGCGATCCATATCCGGCAGACAAATAATCACCGCATGGAGACACTGGAAGGCAAGTAAATAAAATGGAATAAAACTCACGGAATCACCGGCAAGCAAATAATCACCACAAATAATAACATCTCATTCAAATTATGTTAGGTCCCCTCGGAAAACGTCACTCGTCGAGAGCTTCCAACCATTATGCACCCAGAAAAATGCACCCAGAAATTCATCTCTTTGTAACATAACATCATATACGTACTGGGAACAGATCGCTTATTTTGTCGCTAATTTTTTAGATAATTTCCAAGTTTTATTTTGGTTCATATTTGTTAGGTGCATTGAGCAAGGCTTAAATTATCAAAGACAGACGTTGCTATCAGGGTTAGTAATATGGTTATGTGTTTTGTAAACAGCCATTTGAAACCTCAAATTTTTCGGATGTCATAATGAATTAGGAATTGACCAGGTTCAACATCCAGGAGCTGACCATATGGCCCTGTTTCTGCAGAAGTATGACATCAAGGTATTTAGAAGCATGCCTTTATTATTTACTTTGTATGCTGTGAAGATCAAACTTATGATGCAAAACTATGCTGGTTTTCACACTGCTCATTGGTTTAAATGGACATAAAAATGTGCTTAAATTAGTTCTTCAATTCCATTACTATTTTGCACTAAATGGTTTTCTAGACATTAGTTGCTTTTTCCCACTTGCCAGTCAATAGTGTTGACTTCTACTGATTGAAGGATGGGTACTTCTTTGCATTTTGAGCCTATATTGTACTTAATTTTCTTTTGATTTATGTTTATTTTGTCTCCTAAAACTTTACATAGATTACAAAATTTCGACTGATATTGCATTATTGCCTTTGGATTTTAATGATTTTATCACTGATGCTCTCCGAGGAACCAGTAACTACGTGAAAGCAACATGGAGATAATGCAGGCGGATCGAAGTTGAACTCAGGCTGACTATAATTCCTACCAGTAATTACTAGAAGACATGGAGATAAAGCAGATAGATCAAAGTGCAAACCCATAATGTATTCATGTTAGGGATATGGATGAATGGATCATGTTGAATGCACCTTGGTTGCGAAGCGCCAAGAGATGGGTGCTAGCTAACAACCCTATTGATTTTTTTTCTTCTTTTTCTCCCTTGGTAACCTTTGGAATTTGAACTGATGTAAATACTAATCTGTCTCACTTCCATTACCAGAGATTCTGTGAATTATTTATTTTGTAAGATAAGACTAATATTTGAAAGCAACCAAACTACCTGCTACTATGTGCAATTGCAAGAAGCAAATCATATTCTTCGTTACTTCATATAGTTAGAACTGCACACGGTTGTTTTCATGTGCATCCCTGAAATGAAGCCGTGGCGTTAGCATGGGCACTGTACTAGTCTTTATATGTATCACATACTGTGGGGTGTCTGTTCTGATTTATGCTGTTACAACAAATGCGGCAGTGTGTAATCCAACAGCATACGGTCTGAGAATTGTGAAGCTTTGCGGTCAGATTGCTAAATCAGTGATGCGGTCAGATTGCTAAATCAGTGATACATATGTTTTTTTTAGGAACTCTGAAGAATTATGTTACCGTTGTCCTGTATGTGCCTGTAATAATTTTGGTATTAAAAGTTTACATGATGTGCAAGCTGGTTTGCAATGCAAACCTGCGGGTGTGTGGTGGCAATCCTGGAACCATACCTTGCAATGCTTCAAACCCTTGTCTGATCAAGAAGCTTTTTTTTAATCTTTATTTTCAAACGTTTGTTGAGCTATTTTTCATTTTTCGACTATGTTTGACACAAAAAAATAAATAAATAAATTGCAACTATGAATATTTTCTAGGTCAACTTTAAACACTTGAGTGCATGAGATGGTTGGCTTGGCATGCATGAGTAGGTAATAGAGAAATAGGGTATATGTGTATTTTTATTAGCTTTTACTTAACGGGCTGTGGAGGATAATTGTTTAATAATGGCATGTGTAGATAATAGAGAAACATGGGTATTTCTAATTCTTTTCCCGCTTCCTTTTCGAAAAGAAAAGAGAGACTGAGAACGTACATCACCACAAATCTCCATCCACAGACAAAAAATCCACGTATGTGACAGATACCAAAGAAAAGCGACACGACACTGATCTGAATTGAAGGGGCGGTGTCCAATAACACAAGATACAAAAAGCATGGTCTATCCATGCCTACAAATATTACATACCTACTCTGATTATGAGACAGACATTGAACAGGCCTTGCAATCCAATTCATTCCAAGAAAGAAAGCAAGCTTCATCCAAATCTAATCTAACCTAACCTATTTATTCAGATAAGTTATCAGCATGGCACCGAGTACAGTGCTCCACCACCGTCAGCCTAACAGTAGAAGGAACCTTATCTTCAATATACGTTCTAATTGCCGAAACCCCTCTACGTGCTTCCATGAGAAATCTTTACTCATGGGAGTGCACCTGCCACCGGACATTGCGCTATCACACTTAGGATCACCATAAGTGGTATCCAGTGTGAGCCGGCCAAATGACTTTGCGTTCCTGAGAATATAACACGTTAGCTCAACCAAGCTCTTGGCTGAGTTGAAGCCTTTGAACCTCACAGTCTTAAGGCGGCCATGGTGCTGCATAGGCATCTGCCTCAACTGCAAGGAGCCGCCTCCGAAAATTGATTCATGCTGCATACTTTCTTCAGCTACCTGTGTGGGGTGGAAAAGACATCATAAAATAGAGTGAAAATGGATCCAGCAGTTACTAAATATTTTGCAGGATGGAATGAACAGCGTCTTACATCCAACAACCAAGTCTCCAAGGAGGGAGAAGCGTCAAGGAAAGAAACCAGAGAAAAATAGTCATAGGATGGGCAAGAGGTCAATCTCAGATAAATAGACAGCCACTTAAGGAATAGGAATTTGGTACGAAGCATTGGTGTATTAACCCTCTGCAAGGTAAAGATGTTTCAGATTAGATTTACAAAAAAAAAATGTATGACTATAGTAATATTCATATATACATCCCCTAGTCTACAAAAACTAATGTTTTAGGAAATCCGTACCTCATAATGTGAGCTGATGGAAAGAGTCTTGAGGTTTGGCATACTGGATGACAATTTAACACGGGCGTAACAGACGAGGTTGGAACGGCCCATGCACAGGTTCTTCATTTGCAGTGTTTCTCCAAGGGAGACTTTTACACTCTGTCCTTCAAGGATAAAACAGGAGAGATTTCGAGCTTTGCTCTCTATCACTCGCAGCTTCAGGCAACAAGAAACCTTCAGGCTATGGAGCTGCAGCAGGATGCTAGGTATCTTCAGGCACGTTATCTTCTCGCAACTATTGAGGTCTAACTTCTCCAGAGCATGGGAGTTGGAAAGAAAGCCCTCTAACTCATTATCCAAAATATGCACAGAACGCAGGAGCAGACTTTTTAGGTTTCTGAAGGGGCCAAGTTCAGGTGTGGGATGGAAGGCGCAGAAGGAAAGTTGAAGATACCGGACTGAGTTTTGGACACCATCAGTTAAAAGTGTGCATGGGACATTATGCTTCATGTCAACTCTATAACATAGCTCAATGGTGAGTTCTTCAATCCCAGGTTTAACAGCAACCTGAAGCCAACTGTCCAGATACTGGTAGGCATCATAAATGCCATATAACTGAAGCTTGAGTATCTTAATGTTGATGCCTGAGTGGTTCCTCAGGATGTTGTCAATTATGCAGATGAAATTCTCTTGAGATGCATTTGCATTTGAGCAAAGGATATGCCAGTTTAAGGTTAGATTGGGATGACATCTCCAGAAACGTAGAAAGGCATGAGACGAGCAAGCAGCACGGGCAGCATCACGCAGTGGCAACAGGGAATATATATGGTGCAAAATGTCCTGCATGCACACACATGGGATAAAAGTCAAACATTGGGATTGTAAACCCAAATGGTTACTTATAAAGTTATAAGAGAAAGGAAAACAGCTGAACATGGAGGTAATATTCTACCCTAGGTAATCCTCCACATGAGTGCACATGGTATATTGCATTACACATTGCACATATGCCAAGAATCTGCAAAGTGAAGAGCTCACACATGGGGGAGTGTTGGACTGCCTACTGTTGTAAATTGTAATTAGCCCATGGGCTTGCTTAGAGCCCACTATTTATGTCGGTGTGTGAGTATACCTAAGAAATAGAACAGACCATCAGAGTGCAGGACTGAACAATTGCAGAACTAGGATCTCTGTTCTCTGTTTATAGATAATATATTAAGATAACATAGTGCAAAGAATCTGTGTGGCTAGAGCTGGCATGGGGATATTATGGTCCCCGCCACATAGCACCACGCTCGGCACACCTAACTTGTGGCGGAGAAAAACAGCGCCACACATTTGGCGAGCGTTGGCACAAAAATGCAGAGACATCGCCACAGATTCTTCGACACGCCAGATCCGTGGTGGCAACCAAACAGACCTGCGGCGCACCAAAAACGCGGCATGGCAAGCTGCAGCGGCAACCAAACAGACACTAAAATTTATGTCGAGTACCTCGGGAAGGGTTGGGATTGAACAAATCATTCTTTTGGCGGCGTGAGAATCACCATGAGCATCTTGTTGACAGGGTGAGCCCTTTCTTATATCCATTGATGAATCAATCGATCCGCCTGCAGACCAAAAATTGAATATGAATAAGAATGGGAAAAAAAAGACAATCTTTTGCAAATAACTTTTTACTCCGTCCAAAAATGAATGTAAAACTCGTTTTTCCATGATGAGTCAATCAACCTCAAGTTTGACCAAATATTTATGATGTGTAATAAGTACCATTAGATTAATGATAGAATAATAGACCTATTTAGAGATACAAATGTTGATGCTATTTCCAATTTGTGGATACAACAGGTAAGAAACATATTTTAAAATGAATCAATTAGTGGATACAACAGGTAAGAAGCACATTCTAAAATGAACCAATTAGCGAGTACAACAGGGAAAAAGTGATTTTTTTTTTGCTGTGAACTGAAAGAAACAGCCACACAAGGTAGAGGAGATATAACATGCCCGGGAGTGGTAGGAAGGGGCTTACTCAGGGCTCGGGTTCGCCGTTGATGCCGCTGCCGGTCGCGCTGTAGGGACATGAGCCGCTGCAACGCCAGCAGCCCCATGGTGGTTCGACCAGACGACGATATCCAGTGGCAGATCCAGAAACAGGACAAGAAGGGGGCCCAATAATATAAGCCTAAAAATTGCACTAGCCATGCATTAATAGATATATAATAAAGAAATTATAATAAGTGCTCAAGTAAAATGTAGAACATTATTTATATAGATAGAAAAATATCAAAGATTCAGGTTAGACAGTCTTTTATGGCCGGGAATAGCTTGGCACAGATCCATTGGACTATGGCCATGATATCTGGGTCTTCATAGTCAAATGCTAAAACCACAAGAATTATATTTTACTACTCATTGGGTTTGTTAAGCAACCTAGTGTGGTGGCATGTGAGATCAAATCGTGTATGTAGTCTAGAGCAGACACTGCAAATCCAGTCACACCTGAGATAGAAGGCAGAACCACAGAACGACAGAAGGGGCGGGGGGCGGGTCGGCGGTCGCCGGGGCCGGACGGGGCGGGCGGCCGGGCGGTGGGCGGGCGCGCCGCGGTAGGTGGGGCCGCGGCCAGCCGAGCCAGCCACGGTGCGGCGCCGTGCGGGATCTGATGCGATGCGAGGGCGCGACGCGGCGATGTTGTGACCTGCGAGGGCCGCGACTCCGGACGAGGAGAGGCGGGCGACCGGCGTCGGGGTCGGGGACTCGTGCTGCAGGAGATGGGGAGGGGGGCTGTGTTGTTGGGGCTAAGATAAGCTCGTATGTTGCTTGGGCTGCAGCTCCGGGCCTAAATCCGCCCTATCTACCTCGCCGGTTCACCGACGGATCTCCACGAGAAATCGCTATAGTTCTGTTCTGCTCTCCGTCAGATTTTAGGACTCTCTCTCTACGTGGCAGCCCTGCCCACTTTATGTCCAAGGATACGCTTGACTTTTGGATTCGAATTCGAATCCTATAAACTCCAAAGAAATCGCACAATACTCTTCTGTCTTTTCTTTTGCTTTGAGAAGAGATATACTCCATCCGTTCTAAAGAAAAACTGCAATTATAAAACTTGGGGACTTCCCAATATTGATGGCAAATTACATTTTCTTTGAGCAACCGATGGCAAATTACATAAAACGGCAGATGCTCCCGTTGATGAGCCGCGATACCAGCCCAATGACCCTCTCCTATCCGCTCATCCACTCGTCCGGAGGCACCTAGGCTAGGGGCAATGGCCACCGCAAGGACAAGCACGCGGCACCAGCAGCATCCCCCCACCGCCTAGGTGCAGGGTGGCGCGTCCTGCCGCCTTCGAGGCGCACCGCTAATTGGTTATTGTGTTTTAGACTTTTAGTCCATGCTCCCATTGTTAATTCATTGTTCTCTACAAGTGGACATACATAACATATCGTACACAAACAAGTATCTATATCATACCTTTGAACGTTGAACTTTATCAGGAAATATTGATGGTAACATCTGGGGACCTGCATTTAGAGGAACATACACTCTATCAGAGAGCTGCAAATATATAATTGAAAATAGCTAGAGCTTCACATCCAAAATTGAAGGAGCGTAAGAGGATAAAGTGGAGAGATGGGTGAGTTGGCATCTTACAGAGTTTCCTGTGAGTTTATCTTGCATGTCATTATCAGCTCTGAGTGATAAGTTATCAAGTATCAACTGAAATGGAAGTCATATTAAAGTGCCTTAGTAGTACCTGCTTGGTCTGGACCAGCTTTTGTTCCAACCATCCCTTTGGTTGTTTCCCTTGTTCCAGCCAGCCCTTTGGCTGTTTCTCGGGGAAGCATCAGAAACAGATAACCAAATTTCAGCAGATAAATCAAATTCTAAATTTCAGCAGATAAATCAAATGTGGAACACACAACTTTTGTTCCAACCAGCCCTTTGGTTGTTTCCCTTGTTCCAGCCAGCCCTTTTGTTGTTTCCCGGGGAAGCATCAGAAACAGATAATCAGATTTCAGCAAATAAATCAAATTCCAGATTTCAGCTGATAAACCAAATGTGGAACACACACATAACAGATAACAGTATTACAAATCTCATATTGCAGTAGATATTTTCAGAACAACCAGATTTCGAATTCAGATTTTAGTAGATATTTCCAGAACAGCCAAATTTCGATTTCAGCAGCAGATATGTCCTGATTACGGCCGATAGATCAAAAGACACCGCAAACAGACACATATGGATAACAATTCTACGAGATTACTACTGAACCCAGATTTGTTCTACTCCAGTTTGGGTCGGCTCCAAATGGTGTCAAGAAGCTGCTGTAAAAATTTCAGATTTTTCAGATAAACGAGCGAAAAGTTATGCCTGTTTTACCGAATGTATGTTTTCCGGGAGGCACAACACGGCGGCGGCAGTTAGAGCAAAGCGTCCCTAAACTCTAACACCGATCACAGGATCGTCACTGTGACTAACAGCAGTAGGTATTCGCCTGATGATGTAAGGAGGGCTGTGATGCAGGCAAAATAAGAGCGGCTGGCAACCTATCTAGGGTTTGCGCGGCGGCGAGAAGTTACACAAGGCGGCTAGCAGGGCAAGTCGAGTAATGTGGTGGCTGCGACTTGTTTGGGAACGGTGGATGGGATAGCGGCGGAAAACAAAAATCACAGCAACGGGCGATTGAACTACGACCACGAACACAATCCTAAACCAGTAACAAGACTCGACCACAGACACAAACTCAACAACACGAATCCGAAATGAAATTGCAAAGGCACAAAGGGCGATAGGACAGCGGAAATTGAAATATTTTTAGGCTTTTTGTGGACTCTAGGTAATGAACAAATATGAATCTAAGGCAAACGAGATTATACCTCGCGGGAAACCTGAAATATCTGATACCAATTGATAAGTACAGGCCCGGTCTTCCGAGAGGTAGCCGGTAAGTTCGATTTGTGGAGATCTCGACGTTGGCGATCCGGCTTCAAATCAGACGCGATTCGAACCCTGCAACCGTTACACCACTGCTCCGTTGGTTATCAACCAAGCACAACTTGATTGACCTCGCCAAGAAGGCTTTTTCTGCAAGCGAATCGAAGAGCACAAGCAAGAAGGTAAAACACGCAATCTGAAATTGCAAATATGAATGACGCGAATATCAATAGAGGATTCAAGAACTCAGTTCCAAAGGACTAATCGACACAGTGGAGGAGATCAAGAACGGGGGCCCTGGATCACTGTAAAAGGATTTGTCACCACAGTTACAATGAACGATTCAGTTTCTCGATGGAAAACTAAACTCTAAACAAAACCCAATTGTGTAGCAGCGGCGGCGGTTGTGTTTATAGTCTAAGACTCGACCTAGGGTTGGGGACGGCCAGGGGTTGGACGCCCACAACTTGGGCTTAAGGCCCGACACGATACATGGCCAAGTTGGCCCAAATAGGTGACGCAGCACCTTGCCGTGGTCACACAGAATGATCCACGGACCTTCTGGAGCTGGGACCAGATCCAAAACGACGGCGTCGTCGTCCCCTTTCCAACGCATCCAAGAACGGCCCGTTTCGATGTGGTATGAGAAAGTTATGACCGAAACAATGACGATGTGTCTGCTGAATCCGAGGGCGACGTGGCAGCTGAGTTGTGAACGAATTGCAACTTGGGGAAGACCATGGCATCGGTGTGTCCAGCGTGGCGATGTCCTCATCACACAAGGATTATACTGGTTCGGGCCGAATGTCCCTACGTCCAGTTTCGGGCTACTCGTGTTATTAGCACTGAGTTTGTAGTATGGGGTTACAAACTGGCGAGAGAGAAAGGAGCTCCCAAGTCTCTATGATCGCTCGATGCTTCTATTGCTCGATCTATCGGTCGATCGATCTCCTGCGGTGTGGTGATTCGATGCGATGCCCCTTAGTGGGACGCCCTGCTTTCCCTTTTATAGGCCAAGGGAAAGCAGGGGTTACAGCCTAAGGGGAAGAGGAAAAAAAGAAAGAGAAATAAGGCCCCCGAGGGTGTGCCGTCCTCCTCTTCGTGTGGGTCCCGCTGACCCTGTAGATCATGGTGGCAGCGGCGTCGTACCGGGGTCCTGTTGGCCGCTGTAGCATACGTGTGGGCGTCGTGTGCCATTCTTGTCTTCTATCCTATCCGAGCAGACATAATGGTCAAAGGGTCCCCTGACAGAGGCCATACGGGGGGGCTGGCGGTACAGTGCTAGTCAACTGATGTTGGTTGACTGACGTTGGACGGTGGTCAGGCAGGGAGTTGGTAGCACAGTGCTGGCCTATTAACGCGATGGGCGACGTTAGTCTCCCAGCATAGCCCGATGCGACCGCCAGTCGCATCAGGACGCGCTCGAGACATGCTCTCGGACGTGCGCCTCCATGCCGTAGTGGTTGAAATGGTTTGGGTCCCACCCTAGGGCCACTGCTTTTGTCCGGTAGCAAATCCGAGCCCCAGGGAACGGGCGAGGCGGAAATCTCGCCCTAGGGGCCGGGCGAGATGGAATTCGACCCTTGAGGGTCGGACAAGGCAGAGCCCTCCCCATGGAACCAGATGAGTCGGAGCCCATGCCTTGGGGTAGAGCTATCTACGTAGCGCGTGGTGGCGACGCAGACGTGACGGTACGGTGCATGTGCTCCAATTTTTTTACTATAGCAGCTATACGGGTGCACCGTACTGTCTATGAGACAAACGACATATCCATCCGTCCATGGCCCATCTGATGGAGCAAGCTCAACGACGACGGATGGCCATCGCACGTCCACGTCGCGATTGGACGATGCCTCACGACAACGGCCAGCGAAGGTAGCTAGCTTAGCTAGGGTGGTTACCGACTAGTAATATCCTCTTGCCGTCCTCGTGCTTCTTCACTTTTTTTTACTTTTAACCCTTTCTTTTTCCTAGTACCTATATATAGTTTATATATACCCTCGTGGTAGCCCGTGAGTCACCCTGTTCGCTTGATCGTATCAGCCATGATACAGTGTTTTTCTCTCACAACAAAACAGTATCAGCCGACTTATAAGCCATAGAAACGATCAAGCGAACATGTGACTATATACGTGGTACAAGACCTATAGACATGTCATTGCCAAGT